CCAGAATTTAAATGATGTGGGTTTAGTTTGTTTACTTATTTCACCTTCTTGTCTACTTGGTCACCTGCCACAGGGCAGAAACAATGTCTAATCTGCCCCCTGCTGTATACCCAGAGCCCAGCACAGTGCATGGCTCAGAGGCAATTCACATCAGTGATCGTGAGTGAATGAATTTGTAAAGTGAAAGGTGGATGAAGGACCTCCCAGCCCCTTGCCCCTTGTCATGTTACTTTGGAATTGGGGATGTGAGGTGTCCTCTCACCGGTGTAGCTGAAGGAAGGTGCAGGATATGGTTCAGGTTCCTCGGTGGTCCCAAGTGCCCTGGGTAGGGAGGTTCTGTGTGCCTATGAGGAGGTAAGAGTCAGACATTCTCTCGGGAGTGGGGTGCCCCCACCAGCTTTCTCAGGCCTTCTGGAGAACTGGTCCCACCGGGCCTTGAGTCCTTTCCTGCCTTGGGGTGAAGGACACCCAGACAACCGCAGGAGTTTGGCCAGCAGGACTGAACGGCTGTAGCATGTCCCAAGAGCCGGGAGCACATTCCACACCTACAGTGGGAGCTGCAGGAGCCTCCTGGCCCTGGGAGCTTCAGAGGGGTCCGCAGCCAGGCACACCTGCAGGGGGTCTCAGTGAGAGCTAGACATTGGAATTGCTCTACGCAATTGCTGCCTTGGAAATTCAGACTTGAAATGAGAAATCAATGGAGGATTGAATTGATGTTTCTTTTATGAGTCTGTGATTGTTGTAAAAAGAGGCATGTCAAGTGCTTGGTGAGACCCATGAAGGATTCTCTAAAAAACACTGAGGCGAACCAGACCTTATAGGGAAAAACGGGCCTCATGGAGACTGAAGTTACAAACATGGACCAGGGCCAGTGTTTATCATGAAGGGGGTGAACAGAGATTTGAGGAGGGTGCAGAGCGGGAGGAAACTCATCATTTTTATTAAGGAGTTGACAAGAATAGGATCGCGTCTTGTCTTTGACTTGCGTTAAGCAGTAAAATGAAGGGATAGGCTGGAGGGCTGGGAGCAGGGTGGCGGCAGGTACGTGCAGTCAGTATGCCTCTGCTGGAGGGAGTGGCCAGGCCACAGACATGGGACCCCACATAGCAGTCCTCACACTCCTCATGTGAGGTCCTCAGGAAGGCATTTGTGTCTCGAGACTGTTTCAGAGACCCATATCTTCTCAGGGGAATGCCAAGGCTCAGGTCAGAGACTTGTTCAGTTTTTAAGAGACTGTCTGGAGCACACACCCTGCCCTAATAAGTCAATATTTCTGTTCCTCCTGGAGGCCTGACATTCCAAAGTGTGGTAGTTCGGGCTCTTGTAGATGTTGGAATTCCTAAGAGTCTCTCTGGAGGACAGGTAAGATGTCAGTGGGAACACACATACACACATGCACGTGCATGTGTGCGCACACGGCTAGCATGTCCATGGAAACTGCCTTGGCTTGGAATGAGCAGGGCTGCCTCTCAATGAGGTATTCCTTCCCTCACCATACAGCACCGGAGCCATCGCTATGTGTAGAGAAGTGTTACTGGGAGGTATCTTAGTCAGCCTACAAGCCCTAGTTCCAAAAGTAAGAGTGCATCATTCAGTTTTGAGGGGGTTGTGAATAACTTGCTACAACTAAATACAGTGAATATCCTCAACCTAGAATAAGGAGTCTGTTAGATCAATTTGAAACCATTAAAATCACTTCAACCTTTCATTTAGATAGAGGGATTTGGCAAGTGGCTTGAAAATCAAAATTAAAAATAGCATGGGAAACAGCAGATGGAGAATATGAGTTGATGCTTTACCCTGTAGACCCAGGAGGCCCACCTGCCCTTCCCAGACAACTGGCCAGTGAATTATTGGGTCAACTGAGGACCTCTGCCAAGCACCTGTCCATGCCTCCCTCGTGTGTGGTAAAAGGCATGAATGCAGCAGTCCATCTAGACTTGAGCTTTGGTGCTAAACTTTCTGGCTTAGTGTGGAGTTGGATTTCTAGAAATCACATATTCAAATCATAGGATTTATGAGCCCCATTACAGATAAACATTGAAGCCATTAAAAAATTGGCAAATACCTAGGATCCTATTTTAAGGGCATGAGAGGATTTTATATATGTTTACTTTTACACCATAAACTCCAGCTGCCTCATTACCTCACTCAAGACAAAAAGATAAAAAGATAACTGAAAAGAAATGTGAAAGGCTTTCAAGGTACTGTTTTCTCTAAAGGGTTTGGGACTTTCCAACTTTTGGGGTTTTTTTTTTAATGGTAGCGACTGATGCACCAGATACTATATTAGGTAAAGAATTATAAGAAGAACGTAAAAAAATGTGAAACTCTCAAATGAGACTTCTCTAGTAGAAAATTGTTAGTTAAAAGAAAAAAAGCAAAATTACCCATACAAAAGGAATGTGGTGTCATTGCTGGGACCCGAGGCCAACTCTGGCCAGGAGGTTTTGGGTCCGAAGCTTACGTGTCCTGCCCACCTGCCCTGGACTGTCCGGAAGACTCTGCTGGGCGGAAGTGGCAGAATGGGCCTGGCCATGCCACTTCACCTCTACATGGACATTCAGCTGGTGGCAGGAGTGGGGAAGGCTCCAGCAGACCTGCTATCACAAAAAAACTTACAGAGGGAGTCCCCAGGTGATAGTCCCGTTTAGTCATTGAGACTTAACTCAGAAGAGAGTGAAAAGGCTGTGGTAAAATACAATTTGCTTACATTGGAAAGGGTTCTGTCATCTGGTAAGTTTTACTTGCATGATAAGGTTTGAATCCGTGAACACCAGAAGCCAGCCTTGTGCAGGGTCCCTTGGGTATGACTGTGTGATAATGGGGAGGCTCCAGACAGGCTGACAAAGGCTGGCTGAGGGTGAAAAGGTAGATTAAGATTCACCTGTGAGACACTGCTCACCTGTGTGTGTGAGGGATGGCTGCAGTAGCTCACCTGTGTGTGGGGAGGGCTGCACTAGCTCACCTGTGTGTGGGGAGGGCTGCCCTAGCTCACCTGTGTGTGTGAGGGATGGCTGCAGTAGCTCACCTGTGTGTGGGGAGGGCTGCAGTAGCTCACCTGTGTGTGGGGGAGGGCTGCACTAGCTCACCTGTGTGTGGGGGGAGGGCTGCACTAGCTCACCTGTGTGTGGGGGTGAAGGGCTGTACTAGCTCACCTGTGTGTGGCGGGGAGGGCTGTACTAGCTCACCTGTGTGTGGGTGGGGGGAGGGCTGCACTAGCTCACCTGTGTGTGTGTGGGGGGAGGGCTGTACTAGCTCACCTGTGTGTGGGGGTGAAGGGCTGTACTAGCTCACCTGTGGGGGAGGGCTGTACTAGCTCACTTGTGTCGGAGGGGGGGAGAGCTACTCTAGCTCACCTGTGTGTGGGGGAGGGCTACTGTAGCTCACCTGTGTGGGGGTGGAGGGCTGCACTAGCTCACCTGTATAGCGGGGAGGGCAGCACTGGCTCACCTGTAGAATGAAGGTTGTACTAGCTCATCTGTCGGGAGAGGAGGCCTGCGCTGAGGCCCGGCTGATCAGAAAGGGGAGAAAAGAGGGTCACTCTGATTGCCATCATCTCAAAACGTTTAATACTGTCACAATCCGAAAGGAAGAGCTAAGGTGCTTATCCAGTAGCCCAATCTCCAAGTCCATCTTTGAACTGAATGTTGAGATCAAGGATCAGAAACACCTTTTTGCCCCATCGGGATTGTCCATCCAGGGAACTCCCTCCGTTTCCCACTGACTCACTTAGGGCTGTATCTGCTTCTCTGAGGAAACGCTCAGTGGGGTCACCCACTTGCCTGAATAGGTCCAGAGAAAAGCCTCTTCCCGGCATTCCTCCTCCTTTCTGAGCATAAGTATGTCTCACAGGGCGAAGGGGAAAGGAAGTGGACTTACTCTGCCAACGCCCCTCCGTTGAAGTCGAAAGTGGTATCAGTGGTGCAGGCGAGGGTTTGGCATCCCACCAGATGCACCTGCCAGTCCTGCCAGTCCCGCTTCCTCACACGGCCCTCCCTCTGATCACCATGATGTCTGTCCCGTGAGGGAGCCACCGTTTGCACCAACGCCACCTCCTCCCCTCCATGGTGGTCCACTCCTGCCCACCTCTCTGGGTTCCTCGCAAGCATTTTCTCCAGGCGCACGCTCCACATGTCCAGGCAGAAGGCAGAGCTGCTGCCCGTGCCCCGGAGTTTCTCATGCCTGCCACAGGCCTGCTCCTTCCTGATTCCTCTCTTCACATGGATCCGGATTCTGGGAGTGTTCTCCTGATGCTGGAGGTCCAGGACTTTGCTTGGCATCTGGCACTTAGTGGGCACTTTTTTTTTTTTTCCTGAGACAGTCTCGTTCTGTGGCCCAGACTGGAGTGCAGTGGCATGATCTCAACTCACTGCAACCTCCACCTCCCGAGTTCAAGCGATTTTCCTGCCTCAGCCTCCTAAGCTGAGAATACAGGTGCCTGCCACCATGTCCGGCTAATTTTTGTATTTTTAGTAGGGACGGGGTTTCACCATGTTGGCCAAGATGGTCTCGATCTCCTGACCTTGTGATCCGCCCGTCTTGGCCTCCCAAAGTGCTGGGATTACAGGCGTGAGCGACCACGCCCGGCCTAGTGGGCACTATTTAAAGGCTCATTGACCATAGACTATACAGCACCAAAGGTGAACCCTGGTCTCAACTGTGGACTCTGGTGGCGGTGATGCATGCGGACTCAGTGATTGTAACCAGTGCACAGGTTGGTTCCAACCTGTGCATCTTGGTGCAGGATGTCGATAGTGGGGAGCTTCGGAGGTGGGAGAGACAGAGGTATATTGGAAATCTCTGGACCTTACACTCGATTTTGCTGTGCACTGAAAACTGCTCTAAAAGTTAGTCTATTTTTTAATAAAGCCTTATTGAATGTTTGGAATGAATAGTTTCTAGAGTTGGAAGGAATCTCAACCGATGATATTTTAATACATGTCGTAGTTGGCAGTGTTTTAGGTAACTTTTCTTTGCCTTGTGTTTTACTGTTGCAGGGTGTGAAGAAGTTTGATGTGCCGTGCGGAGGAAGAGATTGCAGCGGGGGCTGCCAGTGCTACCCTGAGAAAGGTGGACGTGTAAGTCACAGCATTGCAATAAGTAATATTATCTTCCTCATACAGTCATGCCTCGCTTAATGACGGGGATACCTTCTGGGACACATGTGGCTGGGCAATTTCGTCATTGCTTGAATATCCTGGAGAGTACTCACACAAACCTAGGTGGTGTGGCCTACTACACATACAGGCTATGTGATGGAACCTGTCACTCCTAGGCTACAAACCTACACGTAGGCAATTGCAACACAGTAGTGTTTGTATATCTAAATGCAGAAAAGGCACAGTAAAAAGATTTAAAATGGGACTCCTGTATAGGGCGCTTACCACGAACAGAGCTTGCGGGACTTAGAAACTGCTCTGTCTGCATCAGGGAGTGAGGGGCGCGTGGATGTGAAGGCCTGGGGCGTGACTGGCACCACTGTAGCCTCCGTAAACGCTGGATCTTAGGCGGCCCTAAACTTACGTTTTCAGTATTTTTCTTTCTTCAGTAATAAATTAACCTTAGTTTACTATAACCTTTTTACTTTACAAACTGTTAAACTTTTTAAACTTTTTGACTCTTTTTGTATAACACTTAGCTTAAAACACACATTGTACAGCTGTACAAACGTGTTTCCTTTTTCTGTGTTCTTATTCAATGATTTTTCTATTCAATTTTTTTTTGTTTACTTTTTATACTTTTTTGTTAAAAACAAAGAAACAGACGTGGGAGCTGAGGCCTACACAGGCTCAGGATGATCACTGTCACTGTCTTCCACCTCCACATCTTGTCCCACCAGAAGGTCTTCCGGGTAGTAACGCGCATGGAACCGTCTTCCCCTCTGGGAACAATGCCTTCTTCTGGATTCTTCCTGAAGCATCTGCCGAGGCTATTTTACACTTAGCATATAAATGGGAGTATACTCCAAAATAACGATAAAAGGTAGAGTATAGTAAATGCAGAAACCAGGGACACAGTTGCTTCTCACCAGGTGTCACACACTGCATGTAACTGCATGTCCACACTCTGATGCAGCCAGGAACACAGTAGGTTTGTCCACACCAGCACCGCCACAAACATGTGAGTCATGCGTTGGGCAGATCTGGTGTCATCTTAGGGCACCACTGTCTTCAGTGCAGTCTGTTGTTGACCAAAAAGTCGTGATGCGCTGCCTAATTGTACTTCCATGGGAAATGGGAGTGTCTTAAATTGCCTGATTAAGTCATTGCATACTTTGCTAAGAAATTTAATACAATTGTATTCTCTTCCACTAGAACAAACAATAATATAACGCAAAATTGGGTCAATGTATACCACTTTCCTACAAAATTGAGAACAATTTTAATTTTCACAAGCATCTTTTCTTTCGTTCATTGTTCATTGTAAGTACATATGTGTGTTTGCATGTGTGTTTATATGTACATATGTAAAGCAATGATGTTTTATACTTTTACATAAGCAAAAATGTCATAAAAATATTCTGTAAAGAAAAACGTAATTAGTTGCATTTATACTGCAATATAGTTATACAAACTAGAGGGTACTGGCAGTTGTATCATTGCTAACAATTCTCACTTTGAAAATACTCATTCCCTGAATGTCTTTTATGTGGTCCATCTGATAGATAAGTAAGAGGAAAAAAGGGTACCCCAAATTATCACCATTACATCATTACAGAATTTGAAATATTGCCCTAATATTGGATTTAGTATGTTCAGTCAAAGTGATTTGTCTCTGATTCTGTTGCCTTTAAAACTGATGCCTTTAAAACTGAGTCTTGGTGTTACGTGGTTTAAAAATTATTATTCATATGTGCACGTTTAAGTCCATCTTGCATCTGCGAAGGTGTAGGGAGTAGCATTTTGTTGTATGACACAGTCTCCTTGCCTTTGTTCCCTGGACTCATGCATCTGCCCTAGGACTCATGCTTGTCTACACCTTCGTTTGGCAAATGCCAGGTTGTCAAGGCAACTGGAAACCCTTCCCTGCATTGCCCTGTTGTTGTTGGAATCAGAAATTATAACAGCCCTTGGGTGTCCAAATGAGTTTCCCCAAGTTGAATCCTGAAGTCAGTTTCTAACGTAGCCGTTCCCCATCCTTACCTGCCAGGAGGAACGACCCTCTGCTGGAGCTTGGCCGCCGGGGCTGGGGTGCGACGCCGCTGCCTCCTCTCCTGTGTCCGCTCGACAAAATCAAGCAGCCACAGTTCGTGATAGGGAACCTCTTTATAAATGCTGTCATCCTATTTGCTGACCTGTGACCGATCATTATTTCACTGTCAAAAATCACAACTGAGGAGGCTTCCTGCCCCTTGGATCAAGGCTCCCGTCTCTCCACCTGCTGTGTTCATCATTAGTTGCAATTCTCAAAGCAGTTATTTTTGTTTTGGTTAAGCATTCCTCTGCCTGCAGTGGGGACTTTATGGTTTAGAAATTGCTGGTTGAAGATCATTTATCAGCACTTAACAAGGCTAAATAATTTTTAAGTTTATGGAAGCCATTTCACGAGATGTAAAATTCCCCCGGGTCCCATGCTATAGATTTTCGCAACGATGCTTCTGCTGCAGTGATGAGAATGCCTGACTGCAGACTCTCCACCCCGCAGCCCTTGACTGACTCAGCCTTATATGGGCATGGATAGAATTGGTGGTATACACGTATCTGCGAGACTAGCTGTGTGGGATGGAGTTACTGTCTAGCGGGACTCTGCATTCTTCTCCATGTCATCAGACAAACAGAACCCAAACAAACTGAGTAGAGGTGACCGGGTCTGTTCCTTTTCACTTTCTGTGATTATTTAATGCAGAATCAACATAGTAACATTTTCCATAATGCCTTTAGGAGAATTTTACTCTTCAGCAAACATAGCTAGTTCAGATTATTTCAATATATAATGGCATCTGCATAGCAGTGTACTGTTACGTGATGCCAGAGGTTTTTTCAATGAGCTTATTAAGAGGGAATTTCTAAGGATCCCCAAGGCTCTGTGATTTCGTGAAGTCACAGTGCAGGCATTGAGACCTTTTTCTTTCCCAGTGTCCCTAATGAAGGAAACACCTTGAGTCTCTTTCTGTAGTTTGCCAAGTAAAATGAAAAATCGACACCTTCTGGTTAATGTGATTAACATGAGTAATCCAGAACTCTGTGTGTGCTTGGCTTTCCGCTGGTTATTCAGACGGGTTATCAACACTCATCCAATTAGGCTGTGATTGGCAGCTGTGTGAAGGCTTGCACAAAAGACAGAGGCAAACGATACCCCTGCCCCGGGGCCTGGACTGTGGGATCCACTGTGCACGCGCAGCGCTCACGCGGCCTGAAATCTGGTTGTACCTGTACCTCTGGGTACTGCGTAATGCTTGACACTGTCGTTTCACTGGGCCGAGACCCATGCTGCCAAGGGACCACACAGAGCCAGTCACTGGGGTGTGTTAACAATCAGCACACAGGCTGCCCTGTTAATTCAGGTGAGACCCTGGACATTCACCAATAAAGCGATAGAAATGGCTGATGATAAAAGGTAAGAAAGAGATCAGTGATGCCATTTATCATTTTCTACAGAGTATATTCCTGGAGATAGTCTCCTGTATGTTACAGGAGATATTTACCCTCAGGACTGTTGCATCTATTGTATTAAAACATTTTTAAGATAGAGTATCTATTTCAAGACTACAAATCCAGTGCATGTGGCTTAACTATTTTTTAATTAACAGATTTTCCCAAATGCGTTCTTGCAGAAGCAGAGCTCTGTCTGCCCTACGTTTGCATTGATAGTATTTTTTTGAAGTAAGATAATACATAAAAATAGCAGCTGGACAGAGCTTGCTGTTGAAAGGGCTGTGCGCATAGTTTGTTCTTTCCCACAGCTTCCCCTGGGGTGACTCCCGTCTCTTTTCCCTGTGGTGCTACTGTAACAGCCCTGGAAATGCCTGGCTGCAGACTCGCCACGCCCCAGCCCTTGGCTAGCTCAGCCTTTTATGGGCATGGTACCCCAGCTCATCTGTGCATCACCATGGTGACAGCCAACATCGGAAGTTGTACGTCACTGGATAACTTTTGGACACTAAGCAGAAATCACAAGCATACTATGGATTCCAGTTCCAAATGGATTCTCATGTGACCAGTGAATGAGCTTTGGGTCAAATTTATGGAGTTTTGTTCTCTATCCTTGGGCGATGAGTGATGCACTCTCCTAGCAGGGAGAGAATTGCTTCCCGGACAGAACCACCCAGTCCCATAGATAATTCCAGCAAGCCACAGAGTTGAGGCTTGAAGAGGCAAGGCGGGAGCTGTGTTCCAGCTGCTGGGCACGGCCCACTTCCCCTCCCTGGGCAGAGCTGGGAGGAGCTGAGCCAGGAGCCAACCCATGTCCTGTAGTTCACATAGGAGCACACTGACTTCAGGAGGGAAATGGCTTCTGCAAATCTCACACCCAGATTGTGGTAGAGTCCAAAACAAAACTCAAGTCTGGGGACTTAGACAAATTCTTTTTCCAGCATAATCGTCTTTTGTGTCCGTACTCCTCTTCCCATGTGTCAGCCTAGAAGAGTGAGGCTCTCCGGGGTGCAGGGAAGAACACAGGCAGCATGAGAAGGGAGTTTCCCCCCGTTATGCAAGAGTTATGCTTCCCTAGTTAACTCTCTTAACCACCTCTTCAGTTGTTTTGTGAATTAAAAAAAATAACTTTAACAAATGATCAGGACTTTATTGTTATGTGAGGGTCTGTATTTCAAATAATCTCTAGTAAGTATATTGGAATAATTATAAATTATAAGTTCTGATTCATTGGCACTGCATGTTCTCAGATTTACCCCTCCACTGAATACCAGGCAATCATCCAGACAAGGCTGCCCACCCCTAGCACCTTCCACTGCAGCCCTCCCAGGCTCAAACAATTCTCCTGCCTCAGACCCTCAAGTAGCTGGGACTGCAGCCATGCACCACCACACCCGGTTAATTTTTGTATTTTTTTTTTTTGTAGAGATGGGATTTTGCCATATTGCCCAGTCTGGTCTTGAACTCCTAAGTTCAGGCAATCCGCC